AGGGTCCCAGAGATGTGCTTCACATACACGCCGAAACAGTGGAATGCACAGGCATGCCGTATCGAGGAACCTTCCAAAGGAATGTGTCTTGAGCATCGTTATGAAAGTTGCGCCACGAGATGGCGCGTACGTTTAAGTGTCTTCAGATTTAAGATGGAAGCTCTTGATCGTAGGTGGTTAGTAGCAATAGTAGCAACAACTTATTTTGCAAGAAGCAGATAGGTAAGCACTCATCCATTTACCTACGCAAGCCTTACAGAACTGCCAATAGAGAGCTGCCCTGTAACCAATTATACGCAAGCAAAAAACTGCACCAACACATGCACTGCGCCAGGCGTGTGAACAATGTTAACATACTGACAGTACAGAATGCCAAGAAATTATACGATTTAAGCGAACATACACCTTCTTTAACCAAATTTTAGCTTTTGAAATTTCGCTGTGACATTGTTAGCCTCATACATCCAGGCATGTATAGATGCCTACTAGCAAACCCGGCAGTCAAATTCTTTCTAAACAGACAGTCAACAAATCCAAGTTTAACCCTCCTCTTGAGGTCAAAAGGTTATCTGCACACTTACTCTTCGCATGTCAGCAGAAAGTAGATTTCATGGTCCTTTCAATAATTCCATAAAAAAGCTAGGTCACCGCTGAAACAAAAAAGTTTTTCAATCGCTCCGTCAGACCATGTCCTCAGAAAATGTCTGAAATCTGCCCTAGCCCAATGACCTTTGACCTGTGACCTCAATTTCGGCACAGTTGATGGCTTTCCTACCATGCATGCTATACACTAACTATCACGAGCCGTACGTCGAGCCGTTTGTTAGATTTGTGCCGCCAATTCTGCATTTCCTCCCTATACCTTTAAGTTAAGGATGAATGTTCCCCCTTCTTTTTACACCTCTTGACTTTGGACCGTTGACCCCCAGCTTCGACATCCAACTCGTTTGACGGGATCAACGATCCCCCCCAATGTGCCGAATATCGTGACCGTACGTCGAGCGGTTAAGATTTGTGCCCAACTGTTGACGGACGGACGGACGGACGCTCGGACGGACGGACGATCATGCGATTCTACAAGCTGCATCTGACTATGTCAGATGAGCTAAAAATGAACTTGTAAGCTACGAAGGTAATATGAATTGCTACTACCTACCAACTATAACCTTTACAACTACCCTACTAGATCTACCACCTTTTTGGTGGAAAACGTCACACCTGTGAAATGTACATGTATGTATATGTTTGTGATTTTTATATGTGATACAGTTTAGTTAATACTGCATTTTGATGAAGCTCAATCTTTTACAGATAAGGGTAGTAGTCGCCACTCCTCAACTCCATTAGTGTCCTAACGTATATCCTCTGCTGTAAAACAGGACATCATCTACCTCTCCTGGAACAGCAAAATCTACATTGTTCAAACATTTGTAATATATAAGCATCACATTTCTTTTTTTTATTCAATCCTCAAGACATGTTACAATGATGTACTGAATTACATTTCCCAACTAAATACTGCAAATAAAAAAATGGAGTATGGAAAGCAGTGTGCTAGATGTAGGCATGGAGTATGTTTTATAAAACATAGTATACTTTTTTTACTAGTCATATTGGTGTAGCCTTCTTCAACAAACTTACTTACTACCTTACTGTCTTCAACAAACTGCTTTGAAGTATGAAGTTACCACACCTTTTCAATGAAGAGTATATGATCCATTTTATTTTTGTCAGTGTAACAGTTGTCAGTACAGCGATTTTTTTTACACCTGTAACAACACGATAACTTTGTTCTTCATGCAAATATTGTTGCTGTTCAACAATTCCAAGTATATTAAAATGGAATTGTACCGGATTACTAGAATTCGTAGTTGGTCAACTGTCATGTTTCTTATGCATTCTACTATTATTAAGCCTACACTATGAGGATATACAGTAGGGTGTTGTCGTTTCACTTCATTGATAAAAAGTAGGAAATTATGTAAAAACATAATTTTACGTAATTGGCTCACCTCGGAATATTTGCAAAACGGCAGTATAATGTTGCCATCGGCGCGTGCTGCATGCTGTCCTTCTGAACATGCTGGGCATTCCGATGTCGTGCTGTGATCTGGGCCAATTCAAGCAAGAGGTACCTTATTTTTAGTAATTTTATATAATTATGAAGTCACCGGAACTAATAATATACACCTTTCATAAGCTTTCACCTACCTCAAATAGATAGTAACAGAAAACACGTTTAAATTTTGCTCCTCACAATCATTATCAATTCAAGTTGAATTTCATTGTTCCACATGAAGTCTGTTTTGTATTCGTAAACCCCCACTACTTATATACACACAAGAACGATATATGAGTGACATTTCATTTAAAAAATTCCCTATTCCTTTATTTACAGTTACCTACATAATTAAATTACTATTACACTAGTTGTCAAGTAAAACTATAAAGGCATGGATCTTTGTACTTAGTACTTCGTACAAAGTATTACACGTACGTAAAATGACAGTATAACAGAGCCACAGAGATCTTGCTCGCCATTTACATGTGTTTTAATTTCGATTTCTTTATGTTATTAATCTCGTCTCTACTGAGAGACAGCATGCCGCCTCTGTATTTCCCGACGGGTGCATCCAGGCTCCTGAGCACATCATCCTTGTCTCGTTTTCTCTTCGCTGCTGGCTGCTTCTTCACACTGTATCCCTGTGTCCGCTGCAGCTCCATCTCCTGCTTTGCTGCCTCCTTCTCCCTCCTCTTCATCTCCATGTACTCAGGGTAATTGATGCACTTGTTTTTCGGTCGTTTTGCCCCGAGCTTAACAAGAAGTTCTACTCTGGCTTCTTCCTTCTTACGCCGCTCGAAGCCCGTGATGCCAAACCTAAAGACGTCGTGCCGTGCCTCCCTCAGACTTAGTGCCCCCTGTTGTTCCGCCTCTCCACCAGAGTGTTTGGGTGTATCATTGCTGGGTGCAGTCGTTACTCGCTTATTTTTCTGCTGCTGGAAACGTTAATGGTTTTATGTGAGCAAGGATGATTATTATGATAGCTATGCATTAACAACGGATTGTGTAGGAATAGTAGTTACACAGCTACATTGTTTGTCTGATTTCACAATGTACAGGATTTGTACAACTGAGGTAAAACATTATTTCTAGGAAGTTTCCAGGACTTTCAGGATCTCAAATTTTAAGCCAAATCAAATCATTGTATCACCCATCTTCCCTAACAATTAGTGAACAAATATTGGCCTCAATTAAGTTTGATTGCCTCTCAGACAGTAAACAGGGTTATATCTTTACTATAATAAAATTTAAATTATCATTGGAAAAATGTGGACACAATAGACATGTTACCAATTTCCAGGACCATTCAGGACCAAACGAAATAATAGTACATTTTCCCAGACTGTCAATGGCCATACCCATGTTGCTGGACCTTTCGAACTTGGAAAATGTTAATTATACACTCCATGACTGTCCAGGTATTCCAGGACTTGGATGAACTTTGCTGGAGCATTTATGGATTAACTGGGAATAGTTATTCCATTTCACTGCACACTATGGACTTCTAGAATTCTATAGTTAAATAACAATAAAACCTAGGGGAAAAAAAAATTATAAATAAGCAATCCACCTAATACCTTTTTGTTCTTATTGCGATGATCCTCAAAGATGATAACCTCTGGCTGTCTTTTACCATCTTCGTTAGTCGGTGGCAACTGTTTCGGTTTGGAGACATTCACGCGGGCTTTGTCATCTAATCCTAACTCAGATTTGATATCGAGGAGAATTTTCCGCTTTCCAGTCACTGGTTTTTTTCCATTTGCAGTTCTAAGTTTGGGCAGCGATGACACACCTATTCGAATGGAATCTTCTTGTACTTGTAGCGCAGCCGCCATCTTCAACTTTTTCTTCCGATTTTTCTTTTTTTCCTTCCGGCGTTGTGAACGCTGAACTGCATTTGTGTGCCTTTCTTCAGTACTGTCTGCATCTCTCTGCCGAAGTGACTTCTTTGTTTTTACTCTCTTTTGCAGCGAATCTGCACCGTCCAGGACACTGTCCGCTGAAAATAATACCAAAACACGGTCTAAATGATCGTTCGTTAGTAACACTGCAGTCTGCAGACCTACCGGCCATAGCCGCACGTATATTATTAATATTAGCCTATGAGCGATACCGCGCGTGCATGGGATTGAAATAGAATTTGTGACGTTTCGTTTCATTGGTCATATAGCCGCGCGTGTATTAGCCTATGAGCGATACCGAGCGTGCATATTTGCTAATCAATTAGACTAATCGTGCTTCAATAGACTCAAAATTCACAGAGATTAAGGCTGGCGGCTAAGACATGTGTCTATAACTAATTAACTTGTATAATACTATTAATAGCTAGAATGTATAGAAATGTAACTCAATTCGTTCGCGCCATATAATAGTTAGTAGACCTACACGTTCCTACCAGTCATAGCATAATACTAATAGTAATAGCGTATGCGGCGGGTTATGCAAAATCAAAACGAAACGCAAGATCTGATGTCATTTACTGAGTCAGTGACCGAATGAGTGATGATGTGATGAACAGCACAACCTATACACGGGGGTTATTTTCGGAATGTTACCATAAATATCATCCAGCCGCCTGACAATGCTTTGCTGAATTACTTCTGACGACTGCTTAATCCCCGGACAACTATCCATGGTTAACATTTGATTAGTGTGCACGGCGACTAACAAACTTCATTCATGACTTCAGATATTCATTCATGATATTCAGATTCCAAGTTTGGTTACAACAACGCCATGTGTAAACAACTGACTATCCAGACGACGTTAACGGAAAAGCTAGAGGTCCTGCATCGACGTCGACGTTTTCTTATTCCACAAGGCATATGGCAAAATTTATAAAAATATATTAGGACAGAAATCTATATATAATGCGTGTATATTTATGGGATCAAATTATTGCGATTAATACATGTTTATTATCTAATTAACTACCTCGGCGGCTAAAGCCATGATATCGGTTAACTGTGTCCCAATATGTCTGCGTCCATTAAAACGTGTGGAAATGTTTATGCTGACAACTACAAGTCAAACTTCAAACTTACTACATGTTGCAATCAGTTGAAAACGATATCGGCGATATATTACTAGTAGTTGCAATATAGTTTCAGTGGGAAGAAAGCCGCCCGTTTTCCAAATTGGTCGGTTGGCATCGTTTATTATAATCAATTGAATCAATTTATATCAATATCATGTCAATTCCAATCATGACATCAAAGCTGATGACTACACTCCGCACGAATTATGCACCAGATGCCTTCAGACTTCTTAATGGAGTTTTTTGTATATACAAACCGGCTGGTATAAAGTTGTCTCGCGTGAGAGAAATGGTCGTTGGGAATCTAGTAAGAGGTATACATGGCAATGTCACGTGCAACTATAGCTACATTCAATTCATGTGCCGTGGTGATATCAAGTCCATACACTATAGTACGTGTATGGCTGATTCTACCCGAGTGTTAAAAGATAGCGCAGTTGCAGTAATAGTATAAGCAGCGCGCAGCAAAACATATGATCTTTAGCTGCAAATCATGCATATATCCAATCCTGTTCTCATTTGATAAAAGATGGTTTTTATTTTCATATTATGTAAACACACGTATTCACGTAATATCTAAACATCCAATTATAGATCTGAACTTGATGGAACCCCGACCTGCCCGTGATCTTGTAAAGATTATACCTGATCCAGCAGACAGCAATGAGCTGATCGTAACCACGGTACCAGATCTGGCAGATAATCCTCAAGGTAATGATAATTCTGAGGGGGACTCGAACGGTCATGTCTCATTGTCAAGATCGTGATGGTTGAAACAGAAATAAGTTCAAGGGGGCTGGGGTCAAGTGATGAAAACTCAGGCAGAGGAACGAGTCTGGGGTTGAAATTACAGCTGGAGATGGCAAAGAGGAATTTGGTGGAGGATAGGTAGCTGGGGTTTATAGCAGGGAACTCAGGTGGAGTAGGAGAGGTGTGATCGGTTGATGCCGTGGTTAGGGTGGAGATAGGTGTGTAACAATATATCAAGAGCTCATAATAGAGAAGAGTATGACACCGTTTTAACAGCGTTTTGCATAGTTTTCAACTTGTAAATATTCTATCAATATGTGAATAAATATATTCAAACTTTACCTTGTTTTCATCTATGATTACCATGTTTTCATCAGTTACCATGTTTTCATCAG